TGAGCAGTGCACAACTGATTGTTGTCCTATGGACAGACTCTCCCACCTCAGCTGTAGTTATCTGCAGTTCATCCAGAGTGATCATGGGCCTCTTGGCTGCATCTCTGATCAGTCTTCTCCTTGTTTGAGATGAAAGTTTGGAGGGACGGCCTGGTCTTGGTAGATTTGCAGTGGTCTGATACTCCTTCCATTTCAATATAATTGCCTGCACAGGGCTCCTTGAGATGTTTAAAGTTTGTGAAATCTTTTTGTATCCAAATCCGGCTTTAAACTTCTCCACAACAGTATCTCTGACCTGCCTGGTGTGTTCCTTTGTCTTCATGGTTCTCTCTGCGCTTTAAACAGAACCCTGAGACTATCAAAGAGCAGGTGCATTTATACGGAGACTTGATTACACACATGTGCATTCTATTTATCATCATCAGTCATTTAGGACAACATTGGATCATTCAAAGATCCTCACTGAACTTCTGGAGTGAGTTTGCTGCACTGAAAGTAAAGGGGCCGAATAATATTGCACGCCCCACTTTTCAGTTTTTTATTTGTTAAAAAAGTTTAAATTATCCAATAAATTTCGTTCCACTTCACGATTGTGTCCCACTTGTTGTTGATTCATGACAAAAATTTTATATCTTTATGTTTGAAATATCTCAGCTCCTGTGGACTCACCACCTGCTGGAGGATCAGTGAGGGGCTGGTGCTCTGTGTACTGGGTGCAGCTCTGACTGCCACCCCCCCGACCCAGAAATGGATGAAGGGGAAGAAAATGGATGGATGGATGGATGGATGTTTGAAGCCTGAAATGTGGGAAAATGTTGAAAAGTTCGCAAGGCACTGTAATTAAACATCACTTTTGTAGATTTGGATTTGTTTCCTTTTGTAAGTCTGTTTGAATTCCAAAATGGTCCTGCAATTTTTAAATCTTTCTCTTGAGAATTCCACAATTTTACTCCAACCACAGACAAACTCATCTGTTTTAAAGTTGTTCGTGCTATTTGATGTTTGAAGTCATATCTCTTTCTATGATTTTGATTTTCTGAAGTAAACACAAATAAATGTTGTAACTCTTCTGGAAGAGCTCTGTTTCTGGCTTTAAACATGATCAATAACGTTTGTAACTCAACTATATTCTTGAACTTGAGTAGTCCTGATCTAATGAAAAGGGGATTAGTGTGATCTCTAAATCCAGCTTTATAAACAATTTGAATGGCTCTTTTCTGTCATAGAACAAAAATCTCTTGAAAAAATATGTACAAAAATAAGTAAAATTCTACTTAAAATAATGCAAATGTAAAAATTATCTGAAAATAGAACAAGAAAATATGACTTTGACAAGATTTCTGTCTTTTCCACAGTCCATTTGAGGTTCTCTCATGACCGAGGAGGCTAATTAGCTGGGCCCGAGCCCGGCCCTGTTCCGAGGGGGTGGCGCCCCAGCCCGGCCCGGCCCGATATGATTTCTGAATTTTCAGGCCTGACTTATTTTTATTTTTTTTACCTCCCATAACAATGTTTTAGCGTAGTATATAGTGCTATATAGTGCTGATATGAACACAGTCTTGGCTAGAGGGCGGAGTTATACATGTTAGTGATGTGTTGCAGTGAGTTCTGTGTGTGCGGAGTGAACGGCCGCAGCTGTATGATACACAGCTGTATGATACACAGCTGTATGATACACAGCTGTATGATACACAGCTGTATGATACACAGCTGTATGATACACAGCTGTATGATACACAGCTGTATGATACACAGATGCCGCAACACACTTGTAAGTAACGCTGTGTGTCGTCAATGACAACACTACACAGAACAACAAACACTACAGCGTGATAGAACGCTATATTCAGTGGGTGCGTTCGTAAATGTAATCTGCCGCTCTAAAAGTGCGCGAGCACGAGCCCGGCCCGTGTCCGAGGTCATTATACGGTCATCGGCCCGAAGCCCGGCCCTCGGGCTGTTGGGCCCCTCGGGCCAAGGGCTCCAGTGCAGGGCTCAATGAAATATAATAATGATATAAGTAACTTTATTGTTCATACTTCGATAATTGTTCCATTCTCTCCACACGGTGATGACGGAAGCGAGACGCCGAACACACTGGTCCATCAAAGCCTCCGACCAAACACCATTAATTCACTCAGTCACTCATTACCTTCATACCTATAGTGCATGTTTTTAGAGGTAGGGGAAACCGGAGCACCCGGAGGAAACCTACGCAGACCATGCAAACTCGGTACATTCAGAAAGCCCTGTTCCGACCGGGATTCGAAGTTTAACCACAACAGAAAGAGGAAATATTGGGCAACTGAAGCTATGTATTCAAATTAGTACTTATCCTGAAGATGAGGTACTTTAGCTTCAAACCACAAAATAATGAACTATCTAAAAAAATAACTAGTTTGATTCTATCACTAGTTTTCACACGGATGGTTATAGTTCTCTGTTGTATCTTTAGATCAGCTTTTTCAGACAGAACATTTAAAAAGAGAAGACAATCCTCACTCAGCCTATATATTATTAGGTCCTTTTATTTGTGCCACAGTCTTGAAAGTCTTAATAAGTATGGAATTTTGAAACAGTTTTCCAGACCATGAAAAGTCTTGAATTTTTGTTAAAGTCTTAATAAAGTATGGAAAAAAATGTATGGTAGAATTTAACAGCATGCTCAAAGGCATTGTGAATAATAAATTTGTTCATTGAATACTAGCCTATAAACATCTCAACCAATGAAGTAGGCAGTAGGCACACCCGTACACAAAGTTAAGGTCTTGGGAAAACAAAAAATAAGTTTTAAGCACCCTGATTGAGGAGCACACAACAATTATATGAGTAATAACTACAATGAAATACTACCTAAGTATTGTTCATCTCTAAGTACATCTTGGCTGATCTGCATCCGTGTTCCCACATTCACACTCACAAACACGCACTCATTCACCCTGAACTATTGTACATACTGTAGTATTTGGTGGTAGGGGAAATCGGAGGACCTGGAGGAAACCTGCGCAGACTCAGAAAGGCCAAGTTCCAACTGGGATGAAATGAAACAGAAATGTAAAATACTGTCTAATCTAGTGTAATGAATAAATAGCTGTGTGTTTACATCTGTACATGTTAGCAGAGTGAGAATATGGGACAAAGTGACTCAGTAAAGTGGCACTGGACACTTTCATTTTGCACAATCTGACATTGTTTCACCTGATAGTGACTCACAAGAATCTTTCTTACGAGTATGTTAAAAAGAACATGTTTTCTGGCTTGACGGAGACAGGAAGTAGTGGTCTGATTCACTTCATTCTCCTTCTGTTGGAACAAACATCATAGTTTATTTATGAAACCCCATTCTTAAAGATGGCTGTGTGTTCCGAGTGTTGTTCCGTCGTCCAAAACTAAAATGTTGACTTTGTTTTGCCGTGTTGTAAGTATTGCTTCAACTGCCTGAAACTCCAATCAATTCCATGTATTTTTACATGGACTTTAATCTTAACAGTAGATATCTCAGAGGACTTTACAAATCCTTAGAATTTGCCAACACAGATCAGAGAATCAAACAGTTCAAACACAAAAAATGTTATAATAAAACGCGTAGATCCATTGGTCGATAAGTGACAGATGACCAATGTCCATGAACGTCGTTGAATGTCATGTGTCCTGGAAAGTTAAGTTGATATGTAATGTTTCTACTGTGTATTTGTGATAAAGTGAACTTTTATTTTCATGTATATATTATTTATTGATCAACATGTTGGGAACACCTCAGAACTCCACATGCACTGACACCTCTTAATCTTTTACAAATGGTTATGTCGATGGCTACGTCTGAAGAAGGTTCAGCAAATGACACTGCTGCAAAGGTGTTGTGGCTCTACTCCCCACAGGCTCCGTTAGTGGCAAAGAGATGGCTAAAGCCTGGCTAAATGCTAAAGCTAGGCTAAATGCTAAAGCCTGGCTAAATGCTAAAGCTAGGCTAAATGCTAACACTAGGCTAAATGCCTCACTCACTCGGGCGCATTATATACGTCACGGTAAAGTCAGATCCAATCGTTTCAATCTGCAAAAGCAGTTAACCCCTCCTGACCTGTTAACGGAGTCAATGGAAAAGCCCGACACATTTCTCCTAATCTTCATCTGAACATGAAGTCATCTGTGTTTGGTTTCTCAACAGAATCACTAAACTAAGTCTTGATACAGTTTTTGAGAATGCATTTGTTTATTTTTGAGTGAAGGGAAAAGCTTTACCTCATCAAGCGACTCATCGCTCGACAAGATAAAGGAAAGAAGAACGTTCACTTTGGTTTCTGCGCTGAAACACTGAATATCTGAAGTTTAACCTGTTAGATATTCCTGACTAGTTACACACAACTTTAACTGTAAACAATTACTTTGCCAATTAAACAAGAACTTATTTCTTATCCCATTGGCCAAAAGTTCTTGTGTAAATTAAAATGTGTGAAAACTTTCCAGAAACATCTAAAAGCAGGTGGAACCTCTAAAGTCATGTTAGATCCTCTAGATCAGTGTCTCCCAAAGTGGGGTCCGCGGCCCCCTGGTGGGCCGCGAGGGTACTGCAGGGGGGCCGCGGGAGGTCATACAAAAAAAAAAAAAATTATTTAATGTTAAATTTATAATATTTTGTTTGTAATATTAAAATATTTGTGTTCATTATTTGACTTGAATAAGCCACTGTAATCATTTTTGTATTACAATGTTTGTAGCAGAGGCTATTTCCCCAAAATAAAATAACCAGAAGAGCCTATTCTTAATGTTGTCTTCTTGGTTATTATTTTGGGGGGCCACGCAGACCCGTCAGATTTTTAAGGGGGCCTCGGTGTTACTGAGTTTGGGAATGGCTGCTCTAGATACTAACTATGTTCACACTGAGATCATACCTCCTCAAGTCACGTATGACTCGACAAGAGAAAGATCTAGTTTAGTGTTGTGTTAGCGTGATGCTAGCTTTGTCCTGAGCACCACGTCTAACACTAATGTTGGTGTTTGTTTTAGAAACACCACCAACTCCTACTCCTCCTCTTCTTCATCTTGTGCAGCCCGTTGACCTCGTCCTGGAGCTCATGAACCTGGAGCTCCAGAGCAGTGTTGTAGTCCTGAGAGGAGGTCAGGTCCTCAGACAGCTTCTGGACCTGCTGCTCCAGGATCAGCCGGCTCTGTTTCTCTGAACACAGCTGTTCTCGGTGGAGCTGCTGAAGCTTCTCTTTGAGGACTTCCCAGACGTCTCTGTCGCAGGCAGGACTTTCTGTAGTATTTTGCATCTGGTTGTTCTTTAGTTCCTCCACCTCGCGCCACAAAGCCTCAGTCTCTTGTTTCTCCTGGTGCAGGGCCTGTCTGAGCTCGGTCACCTGATATTTCAGACTTTTCTCCTCTTTGGACCTCTGGGTGATTGTGTCCTGGAGGGCTGGGTTTGCTCGTCTCTTTTCATCACCTCTTCCTCGAGGTCAAAGTTGGCAACTTTAAGGTCTGCGATCTCCGTCCACACAGCTTCTCTGGCTTCCTCCACTTGTGCACGAAAAGCAGAAGCCTTCTGCTGTTTCAGATGAGTGATCTCACACTCTTTGGCCTCCAGCTCTTTGAGGTGCTCATTCTGGACATTCTCACACTGTGCTTTGAAGGCCCTTATTTGCGCCTGTTCAGTCTGAAGCTTCTCTTTGAGCTCCTCTACCAGCTGCTGCAGAGCACTCTGGGAGGTCTGGGCCTCTCTGGTGGCCTGCTGTTCCTGGTCCAGGGAAGATCTTAGGGCGGACACTTGTGTCTTCAGCTTCTGCGTCTCTCTCTCCTTCTCCTGCAGTTTGCGCTCAGCTTCACTGGTGAGACACTTCTCCTGGTTCAGGGCAGATGTGAGAGAGTCCACTGTTGTTGACAGCTTCTGCGTCTCTGTCTGTAACTGCTCCACATGTCTCTGGGCTGTGACTGTGGCCTGGTCTCTCTCACTTAGATCTGACTGAAGTTGGGTCACCTGACTCCTCAGTGACTCCTTCTCCTGCTGCTCCTGCTGCAGCTCCTGTTGGAGAGCTGTGATCTGGTCCCTCAGAGCGGCCTTCTGTCGGGACGTCTCAGAGATTGCATCCAGGAGTCTCTGTGCTCTCTTTTCTCTACGGTCCAGCATGATTTCGAGCTTGGCGTTGTTTTCAGACAGATTGCGTATCTCGTCCTCCACAGCTTCCTTGGCCTCCTGCACCTGGTCACGAAAAGCGTTGTCAGCCTTTTCCTCTAAACTGCTGATGACTTTATCTTTTTCTTCCAGCTCTTTCTTGTGCTGATTCTCCATGTACTCCATCCAGTGTTCGCACTGAGCCTGGTGGCGAGATTTGAAGGCCCAAATCTCGCCTGGATCCCGCTCTACATCCAGTTTGAGGTTCTCTATTTGTGTGAGAAGCTCTTCCTGGGAGGCCTGGTTCCTCTCCTGTTCCCTTTCCAACTGTAGCTTCAGCTCTTGGTTCTGTCTGAGCAGATGTTGAGAGAGGGCCTGGTCCTGCGGAGCGTCCACAGACACAGTGCTATTTATGAGCTGTGTGGGACGCTGCGGCTGGTTCGGGCGTGGCGCCCTGCGCTGCCTACGACGCGGCCCGTGGCTCATGTTAACGTTTTCGTTGTGTTTATCCATATTTCGTTGTTTTCGTCTCTGACTTCTGAAGGTGAAAATCTATGCTATTGTCTGAACAGATTTCACTCCCATCAACTGAAACTCCAGGTGGAATCTTAATTATGTCATAATGCTGATGTCATAGTTACCATAGCAACAGCTATACTGTGATAACAGCTGGTTTCCATAGTTACCATAGCAACAGCTATACTGTGAAAACAGCTGGTTTCCATAGTTACCAATATTGCATTCACAATACTTTGTAGTTAATATATATAATATATATTTATTTCTAGTTAAGTGAACCCTAACTATATTCTGAATGCCAATTAGAGAAAGTAAAAACCAGGCCACACTCTGGACGTTGTGTTTTGAACATCAGAAAATATAATGCAGTAAAAAGACTATATCTTTTGAATACGCTGGAAAATAGCTGCAAGTCCTAAGTAGCTCTGAAACAATTGTTGTTTTGTGCTTCACCATTTTTATTTTTATTGCTTTTTTCTACCTAAGATGTTGCTGCAGTACAGTGTTCATGGTTTTACACTGGTCCAGACCGGAGCAGAGAGGATTCATGGTCCGAACCAAGATCAGGTGAAAATCCACTGGAGGAATGCTAAAAAACTATTCAGCATTTTACTTTGGACTAGAGCAGAGAAACTTTTTGTTGCATTAAAACAGTATTCTGTGCATGTGTCTTAAGAATGTACAGTAGGTCCCATTCCGTTTTGTCGTCTTCATTCACGCTTCTCGGGAATCACGCAGCTGCGTGAAAAATAGTACATCTTATCGCCACAAGGTGGCAGGCTAAGTCCGCTTTAGCTCTGCCAGCGACTTAGACGCTCAGGTATAAGACTGCGTGCAAACCTGTCTAACTCCAGAGGTGCTATGTTGGCCGAATGGTTAGCATTAAATACAAGGACCTGGAGAACCCAGGTTCGATTCTTGTCTGAGGCACATCTTTTGGTTGCTTGTGGCAAAATTGTTTTTTCATTAAACAATTATTATATAACATCTTGTCTTTAATGTCTGAAAAAATCTAGGTGAAATTCACTAGTGTTATACGTTAAATATTGTGATATGTTTTGATAAACCAAACGTTACGTTACATCCTCCGCTCTGGCCCCGAGGGCAGCTGCTGTGACCCCCGCTCTGACAGCTCAGTGAACGCACTGCCGTCTGGGCTCCGAGCGCGGACCATAGACACGCGGACTCACGTCTCTCTCTCTCTGCTCGCGTCTCTCTCTCTCTGCTCGCGTCTCTCTCTCTCTGCTCGCGTCTCTCTCTCTCTGCTCACCTCTCTCTCTCTCTGCTCGCGTCTCTCTCTCTCTGCTCACCTCGCTCTCTCTCTCTCTGCTCACCTCTCTCTCTCTCTGCTCACGCCTCTCTCTCTCTGCTCACGTCTCTCTCTTTCTGCTCACGTCTCTCTCTCTCTGCTCACGTCTCTCTCTGCTCACGTCTCTCTCTGCTCACGTCTCTCTCTGCTCACGTCTCTCTCTGCTCACCTCTCTCTCTCTCTCTCTGCTCACCTCTCTCTCTCTCTCTCTGCTCACGCCTCTCTCTCTCTGCTCGCGTCTCTCTCTTTCTGCTCATGTCTCTCTCTCTCTGCTCACGTCTCTCTCTGCTCGCATCTCTCTCTCTGCTCGCGTCTATCTCTCTCTGCTCACGTCTCTCTCTGCTCACCTCTCTCTCTCTCTCTCTCTGCTCACCTCTCTCTCTCTCTCTGCTCACGTCTCTCTCTCTCTCTGCTCACGTCTCTCTCTCTCTCTGCTCACGTCTCTCTCTCTCTGCTCACGTCTCTCTCTGCTCGCGTCTCTCTCTCTCTGCTCACGTCTCTCTCTGCTCTCTCTCTGCTCACGTCTCTCTCTGCTCACGTCTCTCTCTGCTCTCTCTCTCTGCTCACGTCTCTCTCTCTCTCTGCTCACGTCTCTCTCTCTCTGCTCACGTCTCTCTCTGCTCGCGTCTCTCTCTCTCTGCTCACGTCTCTCTCTGCTCTCTCTCTCTGCTCGCGTCTCTCTCTCTCTGCTCACGTCTCTCTCTGCTCTCTCTCTGCTCGCGTCTCTCTCTCTCTGCTCACGTCTCTCTCTGCTCACCTCTCTCTCTCTCTCTCTGCTCACGCCTCTCTCTCTCTGCTCACGTCTCTCTCTGCTCACGTCTCTCTCTGCTCACGTCTCTCTCTGCTCACGTCTCTCTCTGCTCACTTCTCTCTCTCTCTGCTCACGTCTCTCTCTGCTCACTTCTCTCTCTCTCTGCTCACGTCTCTCTCTGCTCACGTCTCTCTCTCTCTGCTCACGCCTCTCTCTCTCTGCTCACGTCTCTCTCTGCTCACGTCTCTCTCTCTGCTCGCGTCTCTCTCTCTCTGCTCTCTCTCTCTGCTCGCGTCTCTCTCTCTCTGCTCACGTCTCTCTCTGCTCACCTCTCTCTCTCTCTCTCTGCTCACGTCTCTCTCTCTCTGCTCACGTCTCTCTCCCTCTGCTCACGTCTCTCTCTCTCTGCTCGCGTCTCTCTCTCTCTGCTCACGTCTCTCTCTCTCTGCTCACGTCTCTCTCTCTCTGCTCGCGTCTCTCTCTCTCTGCTCACCTCTCTCTCTCTGCTCACCTCTCTCTCTCTCTCTCTGCTCGCGTCTCTCTCTCTCTGCTCACGCCTCTCTCTGCTCACGTCTCTCTCTCTCTGCTCACCTCTCTCTCTCTCTCTCTGCTCACCTCTCTTTCTCTCTCTCTGCTCGCGTCTCTCTCTCTCTGCTCACGTCTCTCTCTCTCTGCTCACGTCTCTCTCTCTCTGCTCACCTCTCTCTCTCTCTCTCTGCTCACCTCTCTCTCTCTCTCTCTGCTCGCGTCTCTCTCTCTCTGCTCACGTCTCTCTCTCTCTGCTCACGTCTCTCTCTCTCTGCTCGCGTCTCTCTCTCTCTGCTCACGTCTCTCTCTGCTCACGGCTCTCTCTCTCTGCTCACGTCTCTCTCTGCTCGCGTCTCTCTCTCTCTGCTCACGTCTCTCTCTGCTCACGTCTCTCTCTCTCTGCCTCACGTCTCTCTCTCTCTGCTCACGCCTCTCTCTGCTCACGTCTCTCTCTCTCTGCTCACCTCTCTCTCTCTCTCTCTCTACACTCACCTCTCTTTCTCTCTCTCTGCTCGCGTCTCTCTCTCTCTGCTCACGTCTCTCTCTCTCTGCTCACGTCTCTCTCTCTCTGCTCACGTCTCTCTCTCTCTGCTCGCGTCTCTCTCTCTCTGCTCACCTCTCTCTCTCTCTCTCTGCTCACCTCTCTCTCTCTCTCTCTGCTCGCGTCTCTCTCTCTCTGCTCACGTCTCTCTCTCTCTGCTCACGTCTCTCTCTCTCTGCTCGCGTCTCTCTCTCTCTGCTCACGTCTCTCTCTGCTCACGTCTCTCTCTCTCTGCTCACGTCTCTCTGCTCGCGTCTCTCTCTCTCTGCTCACGTCTCTCTCTGCTCACGTCTCTCTCTCTCTGCTCACGTCTCTCTCTCTCTGCTCACGCCTCTCTCTGCTCACGTCTCTCTCTCTCTGCTCACCTCTCTCTCTCTCTCTCTGCTCACCTCTCTTTCTCTCTCTCTGCTCTGCTCAACAGTTTTTGGAACAAGACTTCAACAGCTTGTGCCTTCTGACGAACCATATTTTAAGGACAGCCAGGATTAACTCAAATCAAGTTAAAAACACACTAGATTCAACAAATGTTTTCATCATATGTTACAACATCTGCAGTGTATTATTATTACAAAAACATTGGACAAAAAATCTCTTGAAAAAAAATGTGTTCTTATCTCATGACCGAGGAGGCTAATTAGCTGGGCCCGAGCACGGCCCTGGCCCGAGGGGGTGGCGCCCCCAGCCCGGCCCGGCCCGATATGGTTTCTGAATTTTCAGGCCCGACTTTATTTTATTTTTTACCTCCCATAACAAAGTTTTAGCATAGTATATAGTTGCCGCGCACTGATATGAACACAGTCTTGGCTCGAGGGCGGAGTTATCATTGTAGGCGTTGTGTTGCAGTGAGTTCTGTGTGTACGAGTGAACGGGCCGCAGCTGTATGATACACACTGTATGCTTTACCACGCGTATGATACACAGCTGTATGATACACAGCTGTTTGATTGCCCAGATGCCGCAACACCACTTGTACGTAAGCTGTGTGTCGTCAATGACAAACACTACACAGAACAACAACACTTACAGCGTGGTAGAACCGCATATTCAGTGGTGCGTTCGTAAATGTAATCTGCCGCTCTGAAAGTGCGCGAGCCCGAGCCCGGCCCGTGGTCCGAGGTCATTATACGGTCATCGGCCCGAAGCACGGCCATCGGGCTGTCAGGCCCCTCGGGCCAAGGGCTCAACTGAAACTTCATGAAGAGGCGTTTTGCGTTTCATCAAATGATACACACAAGACTCTGCTCTGAGAAAGGTGCAATATAACTAAAGATTACTTACTTTCTTATAACATCTCTAGTTTTACTAATGTATAGACCATATTAGTCAGTCCTCAGGTCTCTGACTGGCTTCCGTGGCTCAGAGAATAGCGACTTTAAAACAGCTCTGCTTGTTACAAGTCTCTCCATGGCCTCGCACCAAAAATATATTAGTGACATGTTAGTCCCATATGAACCAGCCCGGACTCTGAGGAGACAGGGACTGGACCTCCTTGTTAGTGCCCAGAGTCAGAACTAAACATGGGGAGGCTGCTTTTCAGATTCATGCTGCTAAAATCTGGAACAGTCTTCCTGAAGATGTGAGACAAGGCCTCCTCTCTGACAATGTTTAAAACCAGGTTAAAGACAGTTCTGTTTAGCTGTGCATACAACTGAGGGATTTTATATTTTTATCTTTCTTTTTAATGTTCTGTGATTATTTTGATTTTAATGCTTTCTTGTTTTGTTCAGCACTTTGAAGTTGCCTTGTGTATGAATTGTGCTATATAATTAAAATCTTACCTTGAATTGCTTGCATTATAGGTCATCGGCCCGAAGCCGGCCCTCGGGCATTCAGGCCCCACGGGGCTCAACTGAAACTTCATGTGA